ATTTATTTAATTTTTAAAACTATTATGTAGTTGAAAATGCACCACAATTTAAATTATTGAGTGATGACAAATCCTCAAATATTAAAATTGTCCTCTTCTTTCTAATAATTCTTATTCTGACTTACATGACAATAATTTTGGCCAAAAACTCCATAGGATCGGTTTTTTAAGACGCCAAGACGGCAGCACCATAGGTTTTAAAAAAAAAAAAAAAAACCATTTTCTAAAACAAAGGCAAACAAACACAATTGTTCAAAATTCATAAGACAAGCTGGCGAATTTTAATGAAGGCTGCCGGCCGTCTACTTCGTTGAACAAGTGCAACCCTAACTCGTTGAGTTCACGGGTAAGAAAGGCTTCGTATTTTATGCGAGCGAGGTTTATGTTTTAAACTTTGAATTTAATTTTTTTAATGTAAAAATTAATATATAGTGATCTCTAAGATTATTTTAAAAAGAATTAATTTTAAAATACATGATAGATGACCTAAACACATATATAAATTAAAAAAATAATAATAAATGGAATCAAATAAATAAAATAACCCCCAACAAGTGGAACCTTCGCGAAACAAGGGGAAAAACGTGAATTGGACAAAAGCTAATGAGAACAAAAGAAGCACAAAGTACATGGAATTTGCAGATTTCAAGGTAGCTTGTTACCCCAAAAAGTGCACAAAGAGAAATGCACAAAGTAGAGTAGTCATCAAGCAACAAGCAACGAAGCCACGAAACATGCCAATAATAATAAAAAAAAAATGCTGATCTCCATCTCCATTCTGCTAAACACAAAGTCACCAACCCACTGTATGGTAGCCCAAGAAGACTTTTCAGTTTATTGGGCTTTTTATAGTCGATTTCAGACCAGTTTCACTTTCTATGAGTTTTGGGCTATAATCTATCCTGCTCCTGACCCATTCCAAAAACCACCCCACAAAGGCAGTTCCAAGATGAATCCAATCCATTCACCTCTATGGAAAAACTATGAATTAAGGACATAGAATTTACCTCAATTTGCAATCGAGGACAACATCTTCTATTTCTCTCAATTAAAGATATTTTTCTCAATTAAAGTCAATTTGTGAACAAGAAAACATGACAACTGACTTCGAAAGTTCAAATGCCTATTAGCTTTGTTAAATATATAAATTCACTTAGTTGAGAGCATTGATTGAAGGAAGAACTTACAATAGTGAGGTTTATATTAAATTTTTTATATATATTCATGATATCTTTTATTAAAAAAAAACTTTTAAAACTTATGCGTCCAAAAAAAAAAAAAAACCAAATAAGTCGAGAAACACACCATGTTTTCTGACCATGACTTTAAAATGTTCTCATTATCTAGATATGCATGGCCCATATAGCTTTATAATGTACTTGAAGACGAGTAATTGGATCAAGGGATAGCAAATGAAGATGGATGCCCTGCCCTGCCCTCACATTCAACGGCTCATCCAGCTCCATAATAAGGGGACAGAAACCAAGTGCTCTTAGAAAACACTTGAATGAGGTGACGGGACAACAACTCAAAGATCTTGACAGTAATTTCTCAACTTGTGTATATTAAATCTAATGCGCGTGCTCTCAATATAAATAGAGGGATCAAAGCAAAAACAAAAGCTAGAAAGAATATGTCTACCCCATTTTTGTTTATGGCTACTACAGAAAGAGACTGCTGCTGCCATCGTGCTATACATGATTTGTCTCCATCCTTCAGTGTAGATATCTAGATATATAGTTTCTTCAATTCATTGACTTTTTCTGTCGATGCAAATGGTTAGAAATGTTTCGGCACGAAGATTGAATTTACCTGTTTATATGAAAGCAATAGTATGTGTGTGTGAGTTTCTAAAAAGATCTTTTTTATTACAGCTACTTAAACTAAGCTCAAAATGCAGTTTTGTAAAGGTTTTTTATTAAGCAACTTATAAAAACTTAAGTTACAAGAGTGTTTGTTGTTAAGCTTTCAAATTTGATAATTTTTATTAATTTTTTTATTATTTTATATAAAACCATAATTCATCACTTCTACAAAATTTTTAGATGATTTCAATTAAATTGGCTTTAACTGAGCGCGAAAGAGATTTCCTTTTCAAGATCTCCTTTTTGGCCCCTAAAAATATTGGATGCAGCTGCAAAAATAAGTGACAACGCATGATAGATCATGATCATGGTCCTCGAATGGTGACTTCCATAAATTGACTACCATTACTCAGGCATGCAGGGCTTTCCTATATGTGCAGATATGTATGAACTCTACGGCCAAATTATTTTCATAACCAACTATTAGTTTTCAGTCATTGAAAATCAACAAAAAATAGAAAAGGAAAAGAAAAAGGCAAGTTAGGTTTGGTTGGCCATGAATTTAACTTAAGTCATGTACAAACAACTAGACATTTTTTTTGTAGTATTGCACAAGGAGCAAACCAAAGTTGGTCATGGAATTTAAAAAATACATATATATCTGGGTAGCTCAAGTGGGCACAAGTTGCGTCCTATATTTATAAAGTTACAAAAAAAAAAAAATCTAGTTAGAAAACTTTGCTTTTCCCTTAAAAAGATAGCAAATTCTAGACTAATTGATCACTTTTACCGTCTAACACATATGCAAGCAACTATTGAAAATCTCGGCTCCATCACCAATGATAAAATCTTGATTTCGAGTTAAGGCAGAGGATCAGATATGTCGAGTTATCGAGTTAATTTCTAGTTTGCTTAATTTGTTTCCTGGGGACATTTGATAAAATTGGACTGATAAAAAGTTTACTTAATTCACTCAGGTACGCCTGCTGGCAGATTTTTCTTAAACTGGTGGTCGAGAATCCATTTCAAAATCATGGTACTAGACAGACCCACCAGAGACAGTGATCAATACCAATCTGCAAATTAAAGAAAAAGTTGAGATAATTAAAAGAAAAAAAAAGGTTTCCATGAAATAAATGTTTCTTTTCAACTGATAAACCTCCCAACTTGTTTTGTTCCCTTCACTTCCACATAGGCTTGTTTGGTATGTGGAAGGAATTAGAAAGCTTTGCCCACAATTCTGCTGTTCGCCTATAAACCCCAAGAAACGGCTAATGAGGGCTTATTTTTCAGAGGTCCAAGCTCCGAAGGCATAATATTAGGTATGCTTAATTGACTAAACCATGCCCTCGGAGGGTATTTCAGTTGTTAAAAATTAAGTTTCTATGTAAAAAGTCTCAAATCCAAATTCTGAGATAGATTAAGACTTAAGAGGGGTTTGAGAAGTGAAAGGATATCCTTTATTGCATAACTTATTATCAGATGTACTAAAAAAAGACCAAAACCGTTTGCAGCAATTCTACAGGCAAACAACAAGATCCAGGAGCTAATGATACCAAACAGGACCTAAAGTTCAATTCACATCTGCTTCAGCAACTTCCTCATTCGTCACTCGCTAGTTTCAACTTCCTTTGCGGCTTTGCTTTCTTTGCTTCTCCACTTCTGCTCGCTTTAATTATTTTATTTTATCTTGCTTATGATTCTGCCAAACCTGATTGAAAGTGAAGATAAGCTAGATTAATGATTTCTATTCAGCAGGATTTATTTTAATCTTTCCACTTTATAGCACTCTCCCTTTTCACCTTTTATCCTAGTAATTAATTCGATCCTATAATATTCACACCTATATGGCTGTTCCATGCCCTTCAAAGGACAACATAGATATGCAGAATTTCCCTAAAGTCATCCCGTCTAGTACTACTACCTAGTACAAATTCATTACCTTCATGCCAAAATAAAAATGAACGTAAAATTTATTTTAAAAAGAACAAAAATTAAGGAGAACGAACTAGTAGCAAATATTACCATTTTATTTATTAATTAGAAGGAAAAAAAAAAAAAAGCTGAATTATTTTTTTTCTCTGTTTAATTTATCAGGGCCCTCCAAGAAAATTTTTTATGATCATGACCAAGAGAAATCTTTCTTCCAGTTAAACTCGTCATTGCTGAAGTAGAAGCCATCCTCCCTGACCAGCCAGGAGCACTTGTTGAGAGGGGCGCAACGGATGCTGTCCCGGCGCACCTTAAAGGCATCAAAGCGTTTCCTCCTGGCATCCCACTTCATGTTGCATAGGAAATGAGTGGTGCCCCATATGTTGGTCTTGAGCCTCCACCCAAAATCGTCACCTGCCTGGAGGGCACGTCCCCCAATATCACCGTCTAAGGAGGAGCACCAGATGACCAGAGGGAGGGAGGAGTTGTTGGTGAAGCCGTTGATCACTCGGACTTCATACACCGTGCCAGAGAAATGAAATGAGGGTGATAGGGACATGAGGAGAATGCCTACGGCCAGGCAGAACACAAGCAGAACGCTAGTAGAAATCTTCATGTGTGTGCGCAAATGGAAAAAGTAGAGAGAAAGCAATCTTGTTCTAAAGCAACTTGACCTATATTTTGGTTGCTCATTAATTGAGGTGCAAAAATGTATTATGACCGTTCCGCAGCGAGCCTCTTTTTGGGGCTTAACCCTATTTAGGCCTCTAACTTATATATTTTAATGTTATTAACCCCATCTAAAACTTAAGGACATATTTGGTTAGAGGGTTAATTTTATTAGAAAAAGTTCTATTGAAAAAATTATTAGGAAAATACTATATAAAAAGTTGATAAACTTTGTAGTGAAATTTTGTTAGACTTTTGATAAGTTGTCAAGTACGATAGTTGGAGTAAAGGTGAAAATAAATATTTCAACTTTGTATTTTTTTTATTTAAAAATGTTAACTTTATTAGTTTTTAGATAAAAATGTTAACTTTCAACTTTTTTTATTTAAAAATGTCAAAAGTTTCAACTTTTTTTATTTGAAGATTAATTGAGTGGTGATGCTGAGGTGGCTAACATATTTTTTTAGGTTAAATACTTGAATTGATCCTTCAACTTTTATTTTTAAACCAATTCATCCTTAAACTTCAGAAAGTACTGAAAATATCTTTCAACTTCAATTTTCAACACTAATTTCGTCTTTCCGTGAGTTAAGTGTTGATGTAACTAATTTTTTCGCTAAGTGATTGACTATTTTACATTTTCAATATTAGGTGGAAAATCCATCATGTAAAAAATGATTATGTGGATTTTTTTAATTTTAAATAATTTAAAAATTACTTTAATTCTTAATTTTACTTTATTTAAATGAAAAAATTAAAACAATTAATATATTTTCCCATTTAATTAGTCCCACCTACCATAAGTGACTCTTAATTTATAAAGAAATAAATTAACTCTCATTTAATTTTATTAAATCAAATCTCACATACTATAATTATTTCCTAATTCATAAAAGAATTAATTAATTTTTATTTAATTTTATTAATTGGAATTAAAATAAAATTAAAATAATTTTTTAGTTATTCTTCCTTGACCTTCTTTTTTGTTTAAATTATTAAAATAAACTGTAATTATTTCCTAATTGATTCTTCCATGATTAAATTCCATTTAATAAAATTAAATAAAAGTTAATTGATTCTTCCATGAATTAAGAAATAATTATAATAGGTGAGATTTGATTTAATAAAATTAAATAATAGTTAATTTATTTCTTTATAAATTAAGAGTCACTTATGGTAAGTGAGACTAATTAAATGAGAAAATATATTAATTGTTTTAATTTTTAAATATAAATAAAGTAAAATTAAGAATTAAAGTAGTTTTAAAATTATTTAAAATTAAAAAAATCCACATAATCATCTTTTACAAGATGGATTTTCCACATAATATTGAAAATGTAAAATAGTCAAACACTTAGCGGAAAAATTAACTTTATCAGCACTTAACTGACGAAAAAATGAAATTGGTGTTGAAAATTGAAGTTGAAGGATATTTTCGGTACTTTCTGAAGTTCAAGGATGAATGGGTTCAAAAATAAAAGTTGAGGGACCAATTCAAGTATTTAACCTAAAAAAATATGTTACTCATCACCACCTAATTAACTTTTTAAATAAAAAAAATTTAAAAGTTGATATCTTTATTTAGAAAAAATTAAAAATTGACATCCTTATTTGTACTTTTACTCATGATAGTTGGGCCTATATTACATTGAAAGATAAATTTCTATAAATTGCCACAATAGTATGCTATGTATGATGGAAATATTGATATGTCACTAAAAAGAATGAAGGTATCATTTAATAAATGATGTGCATTTTAAAATCATTCAATAAGAGGAAATTTTCTTGAATTGTTTTGTTGAAGAGTTAATACCCTTCAATTTTTAGGTAGAAGTTAATAATCTTAAAATCTATAAATTTAAGGGGTAAATAAAGTTTAAGCTTTTTTCTTTTTCTTTTCCTTTTTTTCTTTTTTTATGTGCAACAGGATGCTTCTTTCATTTACTTTCAATAGCGAGCCTTATGTATAGAGAAACTGAAAATAAATATCCATATATTGTACTATAGAATAGATTTAACAAAATTTTTTGTAGATGACTTTATATTAACCTTTTTTTTTAGCCAATAATAATGTTTTTGAGTCAGTTTATATATATATATATATATATATCCAATTTACGTAGTTGGTCTTCTTTGTAAAAAATTGTTGACTAATTTGGTCAAAATTGGTTACTATTTGGTCAACATTTGCTAAGTATTTTGTCCTTTTGTTAACACTTGGCTTCCTTTGTTATCTGTCTCTATCTGCATTTAGTTAGTTTGTTTATCTGTTTTTATCTACTCGTCAGTATTGATATTGGTTACCTTTGTCAATACTTACTTGTCTCTCTTTTTATAACTCTGTCTAGTATTGTTTAATATGACTGTTGATATTATTATCTGTTACTGTATTAACTTTATTGTTAATATTATTATCCATTATTGTTTTTTTTTTTTTGAACATTTAGTCATGGGGTCGGCTCGAATCGTTGACCTTGGCGAGGAGGATATGAACCTTATAAGAGTGGCTAAAACTACCTGGCCCTCCATTATTGTATTTGACTTCATCAAAATTTTAAAAATATATATAAGTTTAGATTATTTAGATTTAGCTATTTCACATTTTTATAAAAAACCAAAACCAACTTTAGATAATCATAATATAGTGTGTAGTTTTCCAAGTTTTAGTCATAATTTACATTCGGATAATAGTCAGTCAAATATCATTGTAGCCCTAATTATAAAATTTTCAAAAAATTATAAAAAACAAAAAGAAAAGGAAAAAGTAGTGCTAAAAAGGTTCCAAAACTTTGAAACACATTACAATAAAAATATCATGAAATTAATTGAAAATCAAGACTATCTACAACAACAAATTGAATTTGTCAAAAACAAAGTCAATTTAGTTAATTCTCAATTTCTAAGTAACAAAGGGCCAGATCATTTTGTTCAAAACCTTTGTCATCAAACAGCTACCTTGATCCAAAATCAAGAAGAATTGTTAAAACAAGTTCAGAAACTTCAAAAATTAATTCTTGGTTTGAATGGGTGAAACCTATTTTACTCAAAATTCAAACTATAGAGAAGCTTTAAAAGAAGCAAGAAAATTAGGAAATCCCTACGGATTAATCAATTTTCAACCCTTAGCAGTTTAAGATCAGGTATTAGTAGGATAGCAAAATACCCAAATTATTTTGCTACTACGAATCCTAGAAAACCAGGAAGAAATCTTAAGTGAAATAAAAGACATAAAAGATCTCTTGAAAGATACTCACTTAAGAACTACAAAAATATGTCAAGAGGCTAAGAGACAAGATCTTCTTCAAGAGGCAAGTGAAAGAACCATTAACATAAAAGAAGATCTTAAGCAAATAAAATCCACTCTTTCGTCTTTATCCCAAATAAAGGCTAAAGAACTTAGTGTCTCAAAAAATTACATTGTGTTACCTTAAAATCCAAAAATCATGGAATCATCTAAAATCACAAGCAACCCTCTGATTAGGATGTTCTCTAAAGGAAAACAAATTCAAGAATCTATAAAAGTTGAAACTTTAATAGATCTTGAAGAACAAATAAAAAGATTTAAAACTAATAAATTTGACTTGGTCAAACCCAAGTATCTTTATGAAAATGCCAATTTATTGTTTAATGCTGGATCAATCTTTCAACATTATCAAGAAGTTCAAATATCCTGTGTCAAAGATAGTGATAGTGTTACCCTAAAACTGTTAAGTGAAAATGGATATTTTAATCTCGAAAGAATGAAATATTCATTGGTCCATATAGGGTTAATCACTATAGGAGTCAAAACACTTCACAGAAAGGGTTTAGGTACAAAATGCCTTTTAACTCTTTTAGACTTGACATCATGATATGATTCAAGCCCTTATAAGATTTATCGAAATAGACCTATCAGAACAAGGAGGATTTGCATATTTTACTCCCAATTTCCAAATGAACATAAAAGCGTTTAAATAATTTTTAAAAGTAGGAATCATGACTAAGGCTATTCCATGGTTGAAGGAGAAAAAAATCTTTTAGTCTGCATAGGATTCACTGGCCAAATAACTCATAATGTCACAACCTATTATAGAGTAACCAGTGAAGAAATTTGTGAAATATTTGGGACAAAGGGAATTAAGACCATTCAAGCTAGACATTTAGATTCAACCTATCTGAGTGGAACTGAATGGAACATAACCAAATTCCTAAACAAACCCATAATGGTACCCACTCGAAATATCTTATATCAAAATTATAAGGGAGAAACGAGTTTAAGCTTTAATGATTATGAAAATATTCTTCCTGAACAAGAAAAAAATGAAGAAACAATTGAAATCAAGAGGCTACACTTCACTGAGGAAATAGAAAATGAAGAAAATGAACCTTCTTGGCTTCAAACCTTAAGAAAAAGGGAACAACATTTTGCAAAATGGGGACCAATCAAAGACAAATATAATGAAGAATGAGAATTTATTGAAACTTATTTTTCCTCAAAAGGAAAAGAAGTTAATGCTGAAGAAGTCTTAACATTGAAATATTATAGAGAAGACATAAAAGATCAAATCCTAGATCTAGAACTTCCAGTTGAGGCTTACTTTAAAAATAAAAAACCCATACTTCAAATCATTCGTGAATATGAGTCCCAACAGGAAAAAATATTTATGAATGTTACCCTTGAAAATCCAAATCCAACTCCAAAACCTAACTAGAACCCTAGTGCTCCAACTAGATTCGAAATTTAAGAGAATTATGAAATTACCAGAACATTTAGAGTTTTCGATTCTAGAACATACCAGTTAGGAGGAAGATATCCCATACCTCAAGCAACACTTGAGTATAGGGGTGGGAATAGAGAAAGGATACAATTTGGTAAAAGAATGGAAATTGACCCAAACTAGTTACTTGCTGCAAAACAACAAGGGATTATTCTAGAATTACCAAGTTGGAATCCACAACTTTGGGCAGAAATAATAGATCGGTGGGAAAGAGAAGCTTGCCGAGCATGGATCAATCGATCTA